TCCCGAGAATAAAAAGAGGACATAAATCCTTTTGTAATTTCGAACTTTCCGAGAACCTCTTCTTCTGGTCTCGCTTGATAGGAAAATTTGCATAAGAATATAGTTATGTACAAAACCGTATCTTCAAAAAAAAAAAAAAAAAAAAAAAAAAAAGACAAGAAAAGAAGAAAAAGAGAGGAAATTTCACGAGAGATTCCACGTGTCTATCGCGAACATATTCACGTTGGAAACATGCCTAGAGTACGTTTTTGCTATTGTTGATGATTGATATGAACTACATATAATCAGACGATGGCGCAGTGTTCTCTACGGTCGTTGATTTCATTGAGATCACGATAATTACGTGTGCTTTGAGTGACTGGGGGATCGTGATTGTCGTTCTTTATCGAGCAAGTATGTTTACGTGTTCACTGAGAGTAATAACGTGAAATTTTAAAATCAAATAAACGTACCGTTGGGTTGGACGTGAAATGCGCAGTAAGTGTAGCGATGGCACGTTGAACGCAGATAGCTATGGGTATGCAGCTAATGATATGGTGAATGTACACCTCCAGTGATTGAATTGAAGTCATACTATGTTGCACGTTGTGTGATTATGACAGCAAGGAATGAAAAGGAATATAACGTGATACGTGCTGATATTTTGTAAAGAATGAGATGCTGGATAATATTACAGTTAAATTAATATATACATATATAAAATATATATATATTGTGTACATATTAATTTAATTATGCACTATAGATACATATAAAGTAAAAGAAAATATGTATATGATAGTAAATAGAAATACGTGCAAATAAAAAAATATAATGGTAGAATACAGCAATGTTAAATACAATGTTAAATACTATCTCATTGTTTATTATAGTACTATTGTGTTAGATTTGTTATATCAATGCTGTGATTATATTATAATAATTCTGCATTAAATAAGACAGTGCTGTAACTATATTATTCATATTTATTTAAATAAATAAATACTAGCAGCATTAAGATATTAAATGTGAAAAACAGTGTTGTAATGTAATTGTAACATTATTTTATTCAAGCAGTATTATAATCACAGTACTGACATGACGTATTTATAATATAGCACTTCAAACAAATTACAGACCTTCATAGAAATTTACATTTTTTTTCATAAGAAAAACAGAATCTGGCCAAAGATTCAGATAAATTCCAATTAACATAATTAAACGTTAGATTCTGAGCATTTACGCTTATCTTACAATTTCACAATAAAAAAAAAAAAAAACAAATGATACAGAAATTCCACGATCCATTAAAATGAAACACCGAAACTCATGAATTATTCATCCCCAAACGAGTCCAAGTGAATAAAATTTCACTGCACTGGCCACTTAAAGAATGAGTAACGATTCCAAACTCGTTGTTTATCCAGCGAACGCCCTTGTAATCTGATTAAGGTGTTCTGCCCTCTTAATCGTACATCCTGAATCGAGCCAGGAATTAGAATAGCGAGAGGTATATCCGCCACGGTCGCGGACTCGCCGCGGAAAAAAGAAGAAAAAAAGCGAGTGAGACCGAAATGGTGCGCCTCAAGGCGATCCACAATGCACGACGTATGATAGAATGTTTTTCTCGATTCGATGATTTCTTTTTCCAGATATCTGGAGCAGTGATGCACGATCTTTTACGTATAAAACGGTCACGTGCAACATCATGTGCAATATTAATCGTCGATCGCAGCATCGAATCTCTTCCCCCCTCGTTGTCAAGCGAAAGAAAAAAAATGTGGAAAATCAATCAGAATGCTTTCTAACGCTGTTTTTCCCACATACTTTTGAGTTTAGTTTATCACGGAGGTAACACAATTGAAGTGCGATCTTTCAAATGAAGAAAAAAGGGTAGCAAAAATTTTCAAAACGGACCGCGAGTTGTGCATCAATCTGTATTTACAGACAGAAATGAAGATTTATCATTTGTAATTTTTTAACGTTTGTTTCGTGACTAGAGACACGTTTGTGTTTTTTTTTTTTTTCTTTTTTTTTTTCGTTTCCCAGTGAAGCTGGTAGAACACGTTTTGTGCTGAGCAAAGACCCTGATAATAAGTATTGTGGTGTCTGTTACAGTCTGCCACAGCAGATTATTTATAGCAACTCATTTATTTTGCTATTTATATCGCGAATAATTATTTTCCTTGCTATTTATATTCTGAGTTTTTCTTTCTCTTTTCCATTCCATTATTCTGAAATTATTTTTAAAAAATATCTTATTTTAAATTAAATCAGAATTGTGCAAAATTGTTATTACGTTTATTATAATAACGATTCGACTGTAACTCTATTATAAGTAGAATATTTTGTTAATGAAAACAATTTAATTATTTCACTATAGCTGGGTTATTACTTCAAGTATTATTGGATGTAAATCACAGTTTTGTATAATTCTGACTATATACTATCGATTTATTGCACTGCAAGTAAACTTTTATCTTAAACCATTAAAGATACCATTAAATTATCGAAATAAAAGATCAAAAATATTAAGTTAATCGTATACTATAATGAGATGCTATTCTTCTACTTCGTGCTTTCTTCGACTCCTTTATGCTTTTCTGTCAATTGAAAAGTAGGCCTCGAAACAATCAATCGCATGTTTTCCCACCGAAGGTTTTCAGTTATTAGCGAAACCGGTTCGATTTC